TGAGTGTGCTCCAAGCCAAATCCACCTTGGGCTTGCATGTTTTTGCAGTATGGACATCCAAACTACCACACTTGGCTAAGTATTTGAGCAGGATCTTTGTTTTGAGCTTTAGAGTCTACGTGGCGCAGCTTTACTTCCTCACATGACCATGACCTCTCCAGAGCTTGGCGAACCAGGTGCCTGAATTTTGCAAGGATTTGTGCCAGCATCCGGAAAAGATCCAGTCGGTACCATTTTGTTCGCACGAGAGTCGCGTTCTTGGAATGGCTGCACCAAATGCTGCACTGCAGGGTGCCAAGCTTGAGCCCTAGTCCCTTGGGAGATTGGTGGGTGGTTCATGCCGGAGGCCGGAAGCGCAAGAGCGGGGGCACGCGGAAGAAGGCCATGGGCTGGGAAGGAGGGAATTGATACACTTGTCGATTTGGCAAACTTCTGATTGTGGTAGGTTTCCTCATGGCAGGAAAGGCCAAACATATCTGTGGTGCAATGGTGTAAGGTCTGCGGGCCAGTCAACGTGGTAGGTCGGATCACGTGGTGTTGTAAAGGGAACCCGGCATATCTCACCATATCCGGACACATAGGGCTACTTCTTTTGAGCGGTCATCCCCAAAGGGACATATTCTGAACCCCCCAATCGACAGATTCTGGGGTTTGTGCGAGTGTGTGCGTAAGACGATTGGACCGACATACTGGTTGAACCTTTTTGGACTCCGGGACTAGTGTTTGGTTCCACTCCAGCGTCGATGTAAACGCCAAGCAGGTGTTCCACAGACATCGAACAACGTGGCGGCGAAGCTCCGGCTCAAGTGAACTCAACAGGTCTCTACTTCAATGGGCGTGTCTTTGCTGCTCACTGTGATATCATCAACAGGCTCTCAATAAAATAGCGAGTTCTGTTCTGATCTGACATGCCAACACGTAGATACTGGGCCTTGTGGAGTCTTTGACTAAAATTGGTCTGGGACAAAACCCCGGACCCCCAGTCGTGACACCAAGTTGGGAAAGGCGACACAACCTTGAGACCCAACCAAACTGCATGGAATAATTGGTAATATCAATGCACGTTGGGAGTTGGCTTGAAGGTCCTTGTATTGAGATCTAGACGTTCCTCGGCCACCTTTTTTGAACATTTTCCGTGTTTTTTCAGGCTAAGATGCGTGTTCATGAACATGTGCTCGGGGGGCCAATTGCCACACATGTTCCGGTTTCCTGCTCATTGTCCGGGACAAAGCTGGCCACAACAGCTCACTGCGTGATCAAGCTGGACACAGTGTCAATTTGTTCACTTTTTGGGGCTCGAAGCAGTTTGTTTGCTCGTTCCAGGCTTTGAGCAAAAATGGAATTGAGCAGCTGTGAAAAGTTGTGTCCCGAACTGCAAGCGGAAACCGGCGGAAAATAAGGTTGAGATGTGTCGAACGTTTTGCGCAACGGACTTTATGGTCAAGGACCCTGCGTAGGACGCGCTTTGCAGACTAAACTGCGCATTTTCTAGGCATTGAACAAACCCAGGCTTTTGCTTGGACACGTGGTGCTTGTTTGCCGCATCGCGGTCTTGATTCATGCTTGTGAGTCACAGTAGGCACCAACATGTAACCCACATCTCCAACGTTGGGCGCAAGTTCCGCGTAGTGATCATGAAAGCCCATAGCCCTGGCCAGCTTCCGTACAGGATGGTACCAATGGTACGACTCACAACCCAAGTAGTTGACCTACTCTGCGGGAGGGCTACAATGTTCGAGGTGATTCCGAAGTGAGCTTCGTAAAGCCTGAACTCTTTGCTTCGACAACTTACCTCGTGAGCAACAGATGTGGGATCTTGGCCAATCGTGGGTTAGGAGCCGGCCGTGGGCCGGGCTGGGGATGATTGTTTTCGCGATGGCCGCTCAAAGGGACAAAGAACTATTGTTCATTGGACAATCGCAACATGGGCAACACTATCAATACATGTTCACTGCATGAACGATATGTGTGAATCACAACCTAAAACTTGATTTAAGATTCGGAGTGCTGTGGCCTTTCTCGAAACTCTCAGACTTTGAATGAGAATGGCGTAAACCTCCCCTACAGTTGTTTTGGTTTGGACTTAGCGTCACATGTCATTTGCCCCGCTTTTGCATCAAGGCTGCGGCCTTGCTGAAGCTGTTGCGGAATGGCTCTCGGAGAGAGGTGACGGGCTTGAAGTCTTGGTGAAACGAAGGGTGTCTACGTTGAAAAGGGTCTGTACTCTGCACTAAGTACCGGGCTTCGACTGCGGTCTTGTCATTGCTCAAGGCCCTAGGGCTTCTGGTGTTCTAGACCGAAGGATGAATTTTCGCAGGTAGTGGATGGGTCTTTGAGCAAACACATCCGATGTGTTGATACGACGTTTGCGCAATTGAGCGGGCTCAAGTCTGTTCATTTTCCAAAGGAGTGGATACGGTGACCACCAACTTGTTGATGTCCTGGGCGTATCCCTGCATCACCTTTACTTTTTTTTGGGTAAATCCGTTGGATTTCAGGTCAAAAGAAGAGAGCATGCTGAACACCAGGAAACACAAACCATGGGAGCCGGCACAGCTTGAAGTTCCGATAGATGGGCTAAAGCGTTAACCGTAGGTGGTCGCTTGTCTTGACTCTTAATAAGTATCCACTTGGGCCACCATTTTGGCTCAAGTGGACCTTTTGATCTTTGGTCGTGTGATTTGAAATCTTTCTTTCCCCTCTCTCAAAGCCATGTACGCCCCCGCCTACGCTGGTGCCGCGGTAGCAGAGGCTAAGGCTAAGGCAAAGGCCTCCATGGCAAAGTACCTGGCGAGCCTCGTGAAGAGGGAGGAAGAAGGATGGACCGTTTTGGCTGCCGAGGTCCCTCAGGCACCTGACGAGCGTTTCTTCTCCAGCGCAGATGAGTTGGAGCAGACCCCCCTTATCCCGGCCAAGCGCAAGGCAGAGGATGAGCCGATGGAAGATGCAGCCCCTGGGGTGGCGCAGGTGCCGAAGGCCCTGACACGCCCCCCAGGGGCGTTCCTGGAGCTCCTGAACCCGCCGGAGGAGGACGTGCCCATGAGGAGCTCCGGGCGCAGGACGGGAAGGAGCTGCCGATGCCCAGGTCCCCCTCGGCTGCAGCCCGCTTGGAGGAGACCCGCCTGGATGCCCGGGCAGACGCCAAGTGGCAGAGGCGCCGGGAGCTGATGGCGAAGGTCAAGGAGCAGGCGTCCTCGGAGGAGGATGAGAACCCCGCAGCCCCCCCGCCGGGGGGGAGCGTGTTCACCAAGGCCCTCAAGGTCTCGGAGGGCCTCTACCAGTTCAGCGACGACCAGATCCCCTGACGTGGCAGCCGCCGACACAGGGGGAAACCGCCCACAGGCGCATAAAAGTGCTCCAGAAAGACTGGAAATACCAGGTGGCCTGCATCCAGAACCGGTGGTGGGTCAATAGAGTGGGCACGTACGGCATGGCCTCGGCACAACTGTACTGGGGAAGAAAGGATCCTTGGTGCTCAGACTCTTGTACTACATCTTCCCTCAGGTAGACTGGCACTTAGTGTTTGTGGACGACTACTGCTGGGTCCTCAGATGCAGCAGGGCGGACTGGGACGCCACAGCCATCCTGGCCACTCTTCTGGCGCTGGGAGTCCCGCTTTCTTGGAAGAAGACGGCGCTCTCCCCGGTCAATACCTGGTTGGGATTCGTGGTGGACCCAATCACGCCCTGTGTGCTGCTGGCTCCAGTCAAGCACGTCATAATCCTGGCCACTCTCAAACGGCTGGCCCAGGGGGACATCTTTACCAGCAAGGAGGTGGAACAAGCCCTGGGCCGGATTCAATGGGCTACTTCGGCGTGTCCATTGACGAAACCTTTCCTCCAGCCCTTTTGGAGCTGGAAGAAGGCCTGCACCACTTCGGGCAGGCCACCGAAGCTGGTTCGTGCTCTGGCCATCCTTCTGGGGAAGCTCTTCAACCAGAGGTTCCCACTGGCATCTCCATTTGCTCCCACACTTCCATGGACGGGGGCATCTGATGCGGGAGCTGGCAAACAGGCGGACCATGCATGGGTTGGTGGTTGGTGCTCGGACGTGCCCAACCCCGACAAGTCCCGAGTGAAGTGGTTCCAACACAGAATCACACCGGAGGGCGAGCCGTGGGCCTTCACTACTGGGGACCCGCAGCGGGCGATAGCGGCCTTGGAGCTCTTCGGCCTCCTCCTTTTGGTGAGGGCTGTTCTGCTTTGTGCAGCCGGCTCGGCTTCTCACACTAGGATTCTGGTTGCTAGTGATAACCAGGGAAACGTTTTCTCCCTGCTTAACGATTCCACTCGCAGGATGCCCAATGCGGCCATCCTCATGGAAATTGTGTTAACACTGCATGACCACCAGGTCATGTTAGGACCGTCGCATGTGAAGCGCGACTTTAACACATGGGCGGATGAACTTACTCATCCGGACCCGCAATTTCCGACTGAGAACCGGGTCTTCCCCTCAGTCGAAAGCGAATTGATCAAGCTGATCTTCGCTACTTTCCTTCCTCACCCATGATGCCGGGAGGGCATCCGGTGAGGTGGGAGGATTCCTCCCTCGCTGTGGGAGTGGCATCAATTCTACTCCCATCAGCTGCTGAGGGGAGCTGCCCAGTGGAGCTGGGCAATCCTCCCATTTTGGCACTAATCCTTATGCGGCGTAAAGGATGCACCGTTCGCGATTAAGGTACCAGTAGCACCAATGTGGTGCTTTGAAGAGTCACGCCGGAAAAAAAGCGACGATCTGAGGTCCCGAGTCCTGTGAAAGCATGTGCCGCACTAGCGATTTGAGGGTTGCCAGTGCGCGCGCATGCATCAGCATGGCAAGGACTCATGCCCAGGCTGTCTCATCCTTGCTCATTGCAAAAGGTTCCCCCCAATCAGGGATACTTAGGATCAACTTGAGCTACGCCAACAAACATGTGGTTGGAATACAACCACGGTTTGTTGGCGCCGTCATTCAGTCACTTTAGTGGGGGGTGCTTGTCGATTGGGCAGTGTGCACCGATTAGCGCAGCTGCGTGTAGCGATCTCGAGCATCCTGTTCGCTTGTCATGAAGGCCACACTCCTTGTGCTTATTTCTGCTTGGGCGGCAAATGCAAGCGACATCGCGGAGCCGCAGCCGCTGGCCTCTATGGCCCGCAGGCTGCAGCTGTCATTCAACTCGACTTGCTTGAGCTTGTGCCCTGGCCTGGGCACCTTTACCACTGACTTGGTGAACTTCTCCATGCAGATGAGCAATGCAGGCGACAATACGCTTGACATGATGGGCGGCATGTTCGATGTGCTGTGCTCTCACCAGCCTGCCATGACTTGCATGTCCACTCAGTGCGACACACCCGCGGAACTCGGGCCAATGTTGCCGATGATGGGCTGCATTTGCACCGACTGCCCTTCCTTCAAGAACGTCTATTCGAACCTGGCCTCGGTGATGACCACTATGCTCTCGTCGATGACGGGGGGGGCCGCCAATGTGACGGCCGTGATGGAAGCGATATGTCCCATTGTTGGGCCTATGGAGTGCGTGAGCAGCAGCAGCGTCTGTTCGGAGGCACTTTCCCAGCAAGGCGGCACGGTGGCCTTCACGGGCATGACCGCCATGAAGGACAACTGCACCGCGAGCGGCTACAGCACAGGCACCAACGACCTCGCCACGACCACGACCATGGCGGAGGTCTCCGCAGCTTTGGCAGTGCCGGGGTTTGCGGGCATTGTTGGGATTGCAGGCATGCTCATTGTGTTCTGAGCCACGGGCTGATGGCAAGCTTGACGCACGCCCGGCTTGGCCTCACCGTACCCACGATTGTCCAAATTCGCACTTCGACGTCTTTTCCAAAGTTTCGTTTGGCAGCAGTGTTCGAAGCCTGTTCCAAGGATAGCGGTGGGAACGTGTGCCATCACTTAGCCTTTGCCTTCTTCCACTTGTGGGTTCCAACAAGGAGACTCCCTTAGCAATCCAAAGGTTATTACCGCCTCGGCTATTTTGGACGGAAATTCTCAGCCGATTAAAGTACTTGACAAGGGACTTGAGTACAAAACATGGCCGCACTGGCTGAACATGGAACTCAAGGTGCAGGTGTCATTTGTGGGGATCCCTATTTCAGATAGAAGAATTCAGTTTTCAGATGGAGTGGCATTCAGCTTGTGAAGGGAATTGGCCCCAGCACATGTGCTGTGCACAGCCCAACAAGAATCATTCGCAACACCCCCCTCCAAGAGTTGGACCCACACCACGCAATGTGCACTTGGCTACGCTGCGTGAATCAGCGCAAGGCTTCGGGCGAATCTGAACTTTCCAATCAATCTGCACCTGGCAAGACTGCACTGATCCGACTGCAAAATGGGACCATCTCTAAAATCGCAACTTTAAAGTACAAGTCTAGTACTCGAAGTACACTTCCGCTAACAACTTTGTAGCATAAGTCTAGTACGCGAAGTACACTTCCGCAGCTCCAGCTCGAAAATCGCAACTTGAGGGTTGTGCAGTTCGGACATGCAATTCAACCCCTGTTGATAAAGTGGTCTTCGTAGGTTTTGGCCGTGGTTTATATAGCAAGCGTACTTCGCGTACTACCTGGTACTGAATTGTTGCGAACATGTTGCAAATAAATTGAAACACTGTGGAACGATAAGGACGCCCCCCCAAAGCTGATAACTTCAAGATCTCTACCAAGGCCAAGCAAGAGGTTTCGGCAGCCCCTCACATATATATATATATATATAGTATAACTTTTAGGGTAACATGACAACGTTGAAGAATTCCTGGCTCCCTTCTTTCCGGGTCAGTGACTCCGTGTATTCCAAATCACTCAGATCTACCAGGCTGGTTTGCTTGCGCTCCATGGAACAGAGCAGCTATGGGGTCACATGCACCTTCCCCCGACATGGCCCCTACCAGTCTTAGCAAGTCCTTCGCGCTTGCGATCTGCACATGGCCTCGCCTTTAGAGCGCTCACTCCTGGCTTGCAAGCTAGCTTTAAGCAAAAAAAACAAGCGAAGCATGCTTCCAGTAGCCTGTAGCAGGCTTGCAAAAGGCCGGATCCCATTCCAAACCTTCTTTTGAAGCAACGCCCAACAAAGAACAGCATCACACTGGTTCAGGGAATACTTGAGGCCATTGCACCACCCGGGAGACACGGTATGGGCTTATTGAGTCAAGAAGCTAGCAATAGCAGTTCTTTACACTTAGGAAACTCAATGGTTGCTTTGCCACTTTCAGAGGAACCTATGAAGCAAAGGTTGGCCACCTGATCGCCACCAAACCCATCTCCCCATGCCATGCCACGTAGCGCTGCCAAGCGCTGCGTTGCTCGGCAATCGGCAAGGAAAGGCGGAAAGAAGTTGCGGTATCGCTACCTTCTTTTTTGTGTAGGCAAAACGAGCCCAAGAACATGATGGGACATTTCCTCAACTGATCAGCGTGATTGTTGTTTAAAAACAGCTAGTACAACGATTGAACTTAGCGTGTCTCAGCCACAGTTTGTCGGGGCTTGCTTATTCAAGACACCAGAGCCTCCGTGTAGGCATCCTGCAGATTGTAAGCCCTTTCAAAGTTTGATTGTTATTGGCATGTCAAATGGAGCAAAATAACTGGTTGGCAGAATCGATGAATTAGGTTTTGGCGGATGTTGTCATGTTGGTTTTGGTACGCTGGGCAACTTGTGGCTCGCTTAGGCTGCATGGAGGAGAGCTGTCCGATTTGCGGTGAGTGCGCTAGCAGCTTGAGGGTCATGGCTGCATGAGAAAAGTGGCTACAATGTAGATATGTGGGTATGTGTCAACATAGGGGTGCCCAAAGAATCCCACAATTGGTAGTTGTCCCTTTTCCTTCCCTTTAGTCCAACCTGAAGAAGGGTACCCTAGAGAACACACACAGACACACACACACACAACCCCATTTGAGGTTCCCCATTGCTTTCTAGAAGTTCCTTTGCTCAGCTTGATTTGTCAGAACACCTGCTTCAATCCGAATAGCTGCGCAAGGTTTCCGCACAGGCTCGGGCCACTGGTGCTGTTCTTCGCTTCTCAGCTGCTTTTTGTTGGGAACCGTACCCATGAGACGATGCTGAGTTCCCCCCAGTCGGCGAATACTCCACTTGCCGGGGGGTACGTCCTTAAAGCCTCGACTTCTCTCAAGGCCGCCTGCGGCAATGCTGTGTGCAGCTGCAACAAGCCCACGCTGGCGGCTGTCTTCGCGCCTCCCGAGCGCAAGGCCAGGGCTTTTGCTCTTCTTCCTTACTTGGGATATCTCCAGACACATCAAACAAGGTGTGTTCTTCGGTTGGCGAATAGGGAGTGCGTCTCTGAGATCGCACTTGCCCAAAGCGATCGACCTTTTAACCTTTTGGTTTCCCCGCTTTGGTCGATGTTCAGTCATGGCCCCAAAAGGTTCACCTTTTATTTCTGGGTCCCGAAGGGGCAACTGAGAGATGGATGGACTTTTTCGCAGGCCGCTGCTCAGGCTGCCAGCAGAGAGGACGCTGTGAGGCAGGGTCTGAGAGACAAGGTCTTTGCCCACTTGCCTTTTTGATTGCAGGGGGCATTGCCTATGAGCTTGGGACCGGGGATGCCCTCCTTTTGTTCCCCTCCTTTTTTCGTTTCTGATTTCATGGGGTAGTTGAACACGAGCCGTGATCAAGACCTGAGATGAAAAAACGTACCAAGAAGACCGTGTGGAAGATCTCTTTGTGTGGTTGACGGTTGGAAGTATCAACCTGCTACCCGGCAAGTTCCCAGGCAGCCTTGTACTCCTCATGAGCTCCAAGGGCGCGTTCTGCGGAGCCTTTGTTTTGTCCAAGGTGGCCAGTGAAATCAACATATCGGAGGTTTCGGCTGCCACGCCCCAATTCTTTCGGCCTTGCCCAAAAGCACCAGGCAAGCGGTGCAGCAAGGCTGTCCGGCCGTGCTGGGAGAAGATGCCATCGATGCCCGGCAAATGGGCCGTGAAGCCAAACTCAGGAAATGCCGAGGTGCGGCCTTACTTAAAAAGTGTACGCTTCAATCAGGAAGTGTGGCCACTTTCTGGCCAAATCGGAGCATGACAGGAATGCAGTTATTTTTCTGGCCCCCACAGGCGCACTGATTTTAGCATGTCGAGGCAATTGCGCTTCTAGTTGCCTTGCAGCTCTTGTCAGTGCCGTGGGGGGTGGTTTCTGCAACATGTATTGAAGGCTTAGCTACTGCCTGTGAAAGGAGACTTCAAATTTGAATCGAAAGGTGTGCTGAAAAGAGCTTTGACGAAACGTCCAGAACTGTTGAGCACAGGAAGATCTGTCAGGCGACATATTCCAGTGTGTTTCAAAGGTTTCTTTGCTTGCGATGGCTGCATTGGTTTCTTTGCTTGCGATGGCTGGAAACGCCCAGGTCTCTTATCAACATGCGAACCTTGTGAAACAAGGAAAACAAGGGTCAATAGCATGACCGTCCCAGATTTGAAGACACCCAAAGGACTGGTGGGTGGGATAGATGTCCTTTTGAAAGGATGGCCTCTGGCAAAATTACTTGAAACCAAATAGGTTAACCAGGAAAATCTGTTTCCCAAGCTGACCTGAAAGGACACTCACGAGAAAACACGAAGCACATGGTGTCCGGGTTTGTGTCAACACTAAGGGAACCGGCAACTGGTTGGGTTCCCAGTCCTAAAAGGCACAACCAAGCGCGGGGGTTCCCTGCGGAAAGAAAAACACAAACAAACAAGCAAGCAAACACACAAGCAAGCCAACAGACAGAAGCAAACAAGCAAGCAAGAACGCAAGCACGCAAGCAAGAAAGCTAGCAAGCAAGCAAGCCAGCCAGCCAGTCCGGCAAGCAAGCAAACAAGCAAGCAAGCCAGCAAGCAAGCAAGCAAACAAACAAGCAAGCCAGGCAGGCAGGCAAGCAAGCAAGGAAGCAAGCAAGCAAGCAGCAAGCAACCAATCAAGCAAGCAAGCAACCAATCAAACAACAACACACACACATACTTGGATGGACTTGGTTGCCAAGCATGAGCCAGGTATCCCCCCAAAGGCTC